GTCCTAAAACTATTAGGAGATAATGAATCCAAATAGGGACTCTTGCTGTATATCGTTGCAGTCTACTTCAACCTCTTGAAAGAGCGGTTGGTTTTATGAGAGCGGTCCTGCCGATTTCCTGCTTGCTGTACGTAAACAGATAACCTCTTTCCCTCTTAATTGAAAGGCCTCCCATTAAATTCAAGAAAAATAAAAGATGCCTGTGCAGTTCTCACTACTGGGTAACATCACAGGCTGACACTTCACAATAAAGTAGTCCCAGCAGAGGCAACCAGATCAAAGGATGAAAGGAAGAAATTTATCATACATATCAATGTAATGTAGGGTTATGGTACAACTGTAGCAACATACATCCTATCCATGTCCCATGAACCCATTTACTAGACAGCAACAACCAAAATTATCCAACTGGATGATAAAACAACAAAGCCAGTTACATAGTTGGGGATTAATTCCCCTGGACGCCCACTGCCTCCACTGGTCCTTTGCCTGTCAAGTATTTGTAGGCAGCATAAACAGAGTATACGACCAGGACGCCAAGGATCATGTAGGTGACGATGGTAGTCACACTGATTTGGCTAGGGGCCTTCCTCCCTTTGCTTTGTGCCAGCAAGGCCTTTGGCTTCATCTTTGCCATGCTGCACTTCTGCTAATCCCAAGAGCAAAGAGGGGGAGTTAGTGTAAGCAAAAGGTGTGCTTAGGATGAAAAGAAAAAGACCAGTATCATTTTTGTTGGACCATCATCAATCAAACAACATACTCCTATCAACAGTAAGTTGCTAATAGCTATAGGCGTCAGGATGTCAAAACAAACGTGTTATTGAGGTGATTGTTTCTTCCAAGCTAACAATACCTGATTCATAGTGTATAAAATACATAAGCAGAATATGGTAATCTGCAGATCTGAGCAATTAATAGACTGGCAAAATAACACGGATCAGAACTTGAGGATGCAAACGCGGTAAACGGAACGAAATGGAAATACTGGGAAACAATTGTCTCTCTAGTGAACCAAAAACTCCATGCATAGGTGAATGGCTTTCAGACATTCACAAAGTACAGTCTTGTCTTAAGCAAATAGTGATAGTGATACCGTGAAGTCTGTGATTCAAACGAGCAGATCAACGAGTAGTGGTGGATGTGGATGTGATCACGCGGAAAAGTTTAATAATATTATATTTGTTCATGCACTACAAAGTTCTGCAATTCATGTTCATATGCAAATTATATGATGTATCATTTACAGTTGAAACTTGAAAGACTTGGCGGACCGGGAAAAATAAGATATTCTCATGGAGTTAGAGATTATGATACCAGAAGCAATGAACCTACTTGGAAATTCCATGGCAGAACATAAGTTTCAGGTAAGAGTTACTTGTCATACATGACATACAGGCCAGAAAATGGCACAAATAAAAAGGTTCATGAATTCATTTATCCAACTTTGCATCCTGACTTGCCTTCAGCACTCTACTAATTTACTGGCTTTATAGGCAGCAGCAACCAGCAGGGTAGTTAAACAAGTCACTCTTTTCTTGCATCCTCTGAATCTCTTTTACTATTTCTTGAAATACAGGTTTGTTCATGTTTTTGTTGCATTTATATGGTTAGTACTTATTACTGAAATAGCAGTTAACCATATGAGCTACAGAGCTAACTAGCTAAGCATGTTCAAAATACTGACAGGGGAAAAGCAGATAGTCTCATGGGAGTTATAGGATTACTGAAACCAAAAGCAATGAACCTGGTTAGGAAACTCCATGGCACAACACAAATTTCAGGTCAATGTTGCTTGTATGAAATGGCATAAGGGGCACTTTAATAAGGATAGACAAAATGAAAAAGGTTCATGAATCTATTTCTTCAGCTTTGCAGCCTGACTAGACTTCTGCACACCTCTATCAATTTACTGCCTTGATAGGAAGCAGCAACTGCCTACTCAATCAAGACACTCCTCTCTTCACTCTCCAAGAATCTCTCTTACTAATTAAAATTCGGGACAGGGCATTCTCATACTTTGCTTTTGAGCTAGTTGATAATCTCAAGTCTGAACTACTAGTAGTAGAGCAGGAAATGCATACAGGAAATCTAAATGATTAAGAAAACATAATTCAATCAGCAAACATAGAGTTTTAACAAGAATAAATTTGGGCACTAGTATTTACAATAGTATCATATTTTCTTTTTAGTGCACATGAAAATGCTAGATAAGCAAGCACAAGAAAAAACGTGTTTTTGTATAATGTCCTAAACTAGCATAAATATTGATTTGCCACCTAAAAGCACCTGGACACACTTCGGTTCAACATATATATCACCTGCTTACATACTATAGCTTCCTTCACTAAATGGCACTATAATTCTCTTAATTATGGGTACAGACCAAGACTATGTGTACTGGTCTAAACTCTAAACCCATTTCCGACTGGGTCAAAAAGATGATCAGACTAATAGCGCATGACCAAGGGCGGACTTAGCATAAGCCACAGGGATTCCAATGCACCATCCTAGGTTTTTTTTTTTTTGGGGGGGCGGAAGAAAAAAGCTATCAAGTGATCTACAATGCCCAGGGGCAGGGTCAAAGGCGACGATTGGGCTAAGACTACCTTGGCGTAGTAGACTCAGAAGTCAGAAGGCATGGGATCCAGATGAACACCCACAATTTTTGGCTAAAAAAAATCTGCCATCTCAAGCAGCAAACAAAGCAGGTGGAGTGGAGCATCGACCTAGAAAGAAATACTTGAATCGATTTCTCTCTGTCTGTAAGCACACACAAAAAAAAAAGGAACGGGAAGACAAGGGCATGAACTCATGAACAGATCCTTATAACAGGGTGCGAAATCACACCACACGGCTTGCCAATGAAAAGCACGGGTGGTTTATCACTGTCGATCCCGCAAGTACGCACGGGAGTAAATGACTGCAACTCTACCAACGATCCCGCTACCAGTAGTAGGTCCACGACGCAGCAGAGCGGACCACCAATCATGGACAAACTAGATGGATCGGAGAGGCAAAAATAACTGGAATTGGGGCCTTACAAGTCACAACCAACGAAGTAAAGATCTTGCAGATGAAAACGAACAATTAAGCGAAGGCAGGGCTTCCTTACCGGGAAGGAAGGATGAGAGCAGCCCAAGCGTGGACGAAGTAGCACCGCTTCGAGACGAGGAGCCGAGAACGAGGCCGCGGACGCCCACCACCTATGAATATGAATAGTCTCGGGGGAAGACTGGAAGGAGAAGGGGATGGCTGGATCTAGATCGAGGCATGTTGAAGTTGGGGAGGAAACAACGAAACGTTGTTCAACCGCGGGTGCGAGCTGGAAAGGAATCAGGCCTCGTGCGAGGCGCGGCCACTTGCTTGGGTGTGTTTGGGTCGGCCTGGCCCGTGGGTGCAATGAGGCTTTTGTTTGGAATTCCTGCACGTCGATTTTGGCCTGGCCCTGCTTATGCAAACCGTCTCCGGTGGTTTGGCTCCCGAGAAACAAAACTGAAATTAGAGATGAGAAGCTTTCTCACTACAAGTGCTCCAAATGCCACAAGATGGGTCAATTAGCTATGAGTAGTCCCAACAAGAAAGAAAAGAAGCAACATGACTCAAGTGAAGATGACTCAAAGATTTCCCAAGTGCAAGTAAATGTCAACTTTGAAGTTGGTGATAAGTTGGGAAGGAAGAAAACAAGAAGAGGAGGTAGAAGAAGAAATCGAACAAAGACTTCTCCGATGAGTACTATCAATGCCATAAGAAGGGGCATCTTGCAAAGAATCGTCCCAAATGTAACAAACCTAAGCCAAGTTCAATTAATGAAAACTATTTGCTTAGGAAGGGTGGAAATGGTACCGTGAAGGTTACAATTGCTAATCATTACCTTGTGCATGCAAAGGCCATTCAGGTGCCCAAGCATGTAATGACTAACATAAGAGGACCCATCACCGGTTGGGTGAATGATTAGTAGGTACCAAGGTGGCATTGGAAGCTTGGCATATTGATTTATTTTCTTCATCAACATAAAACCAAGTTTGAAATGAATTACTCTGTATCATGAACCAATGCCATCCTATATGCCAATGTTTCATAAGCAAACCACTTTTAGTGGTTGATAATGTCAACTTGCAACAAGTTTAACTTTGAAAAGATAACCGCTCAATAGCGTGTGAAGAAGCTTGAAGAAGGTTCAAACCGAACTTGATGTATTTGATGGATGATATTGACAATTGAAAGCTCATGAAAGTATTCTAGCCCAAGCGAAAGAAATAAATGTCAAATATAGTGTTGCTTGATGAGTTGGCAAAAACGGAAAGCATCTAGGCCATGAAGATGATTGATCCAAGTGAATTATCATGAATGTATATATTGGTCTTCACTCGGAATTATATATTAGATCATCTCTTCACATCAAACAGTGGTATGAAAATTGGTTGTGCATTTGCATAGCATACCTTACTAGTATGTCTATAGGAGCATGTTGTTTATTTTTTGTTCATACCCTTGTTCATATTTGTCTTATCTTTTTTGTCGAAATATTGCCCATTTGTTGGTTGTTGGTTGATCAAATTGGCAATATTGAGACTTTGTCCATAAACAATGTCATTACAAGAATGAGAATTATGAGAATAAGAGAATTAGAATGGATTTCATGTGAAATCAGTTTTGAAAAAAGTATTTGGACAGTTTGAGAAAGTGCTAAATTGGTTTGGAAATTATTGGAAAGAAATACACAAGGGGACAACAAGCACACTGTGCAAAAATGTTAGCCGCGGACTGTCTGCCACTTGGATCGTAGACTACATGTAGTACAATTAATAGTCGCCAGTAGATTTTATGCGGAAAAGTTGGAGGAGGAAAAAATCAACGGCGGACAAACTGCCACCTAGGCACGAACTGTCTATGGGTCGGGTTTTAACCCAGACCAGGCACGGTCGAAGAGTTTTCTCCCAATACCCCTTTGTGAAAGCCCAAGCTCTCCCCATCTTTCTCATTTTGAAAGAAGAAGAAGGATGAAGGGAGGGGAGCAAGGATCTGGAGGCTTCCCCAAACACTCCATGAAGTTTCTCGAACACTCTATGAGCTCCTCCACCATGTCCTCTCGGTATTTCAAAGTTTTTCCTTCATTTTTGGATGGATTTAGAGTTTGAATGGCATTTAGGGTTTGATTCCGGATCTACTTTTGAGCCATGTATTCGTGAAACAAAGTGGGGGCATTTGTTGGTACTGATGAGAGGAAGCTATGCCAAAAATTTAGTTGGAAATCATTTGTTGAATCAAAAGATTTTTGGGTTACAAGATTGAACTGCACTGTTGTTATTCTTGCGTGAACAATAACTGCGGATTATGTGCGCCCACAATGGTGGACTATCCACGGGCACTGTTTCTACACAACAACGGTAGCTATGGTCGATCTACCTTTGCAAATATCTTTTATGATTATATTAGCACAAGTAGTAGCAGCTCTCTGATGCAGATCACATAAACATTGTCATATCTTGATTGAAATGATTGTTGGCTATGGAAAGTTCTCTATTCATCAAAATGACACATGGTTATTAATTCCCATACAAATTCCTTGCAACAAACTGTGATTTCTTGATCTTAATATGGAAGTCGAACATCACAATGATAGTTATTCTTGGGTGTTCATGCATGTCACTTATACATTTTATATGTTTCTGAATTGACAGTGGCAAAGGTTTGGACAAGAAAATATTCACCTCTAAGAAAAAGAAGGGAAGCACATCCAAGAGAAGGAGAACTGGTGATGAGGAGGAGGATTGGAACCCAAATCCAAATGCGGATGTGGAAGAAGATGATGAAGGTGATGATGAGGAGATGGATGTATCTGGATACACTAGGGCTGTCAGGCCATGGAACTTTGACTCTTATGAGACATTGAGAAGGCCATATTAGTATGCATTGAACAATGATGCTGACTTGCCATACTTCTATACCAAGGTACAAGAAGATGCATATTTTGGGTACATTCATAGTGGCACCATTTGTAAACACCAATACATCAACATGAGCTATATGATGGAAAATAAGAACACTTTTGGTTTGGTTGCTAATTTGCATGCTATGGGGCTATATGATTTTCTTAGGCACAAGCCCAACTGGAATGACATGATTGTTAGGCAATTCTATGCTACCATGGAAATTGACACTATGAATGAAAAAATTGAGTGGATGACTGGCAAGAGAAGGTATTCTGCTACCTTTAATGAGTTTGCTATAGCAAATGAGTTAGACAATGGTTTCTTTGCAAACTCTATCGATCTTGACGAGGAAGACCCATTACCCATAGAGCAAAGAAGGCCGTTTTATGAGCCTGAGCGCACTAAGATACAATTCAGAATTGGTGTCCTAAAAGGGTTGAGGCATCATCCAGCAGTGATCAACAAAATTGTTAGAATGACGTTCATGCCAGAAGGAGGAGCCAAAGGTGCAATTAGGGATAAGTATTAGAATGTCATACATCATATCATGTTTAACAAGAAGTTTGATGTGGTAAAATTCATGATGAATCAGCTAGCAGTTCTAAAGCATGACATGAAAACCAAGCTTTACTTTGCTCCTTATATCATGTCCCTCATACTTCAGAAGACCAAATTCAAAGGGCAATGTAGAGTTTGGCATGAGCGCATCAGGCCTCTCAATAATGACAAGGAGTTTATGACTAGAGAGCTGACTCCTTTTCCTAAGCCATCTGAGAGAGAACAAAGGGGGCAAGATGCAGGTCAAAAAGGTCACATGGAAACTGATGAAATTCAAGAATCCTTTGAGCCATAGCCACAACCACAGATGCATGGATAGGTTCCACCTATAGGATACTTTGGCCTATTTTTCCAAAACATGTAGAATACCTAGAGCACACCTTCACTCAGTTTGGTGAGAGCTTTCGGCAGCAGATGAATCAGGGATTCCATACTATGGGGCAACAGTGGCAGGTTCACATGGACACTAGCTTTCAGGAGTTTGGGCAGCATCTCCACAACACCATATATCAGCCCATCATGTCTAGCCTTCAGAGTGTCCAACAGGGGCTGCATAATGATATTGATGCTCTTAGTTCATAGGTTGGCACCTTGTCCACACAAGAGCAGTACCAGTAGCTTTATGATAGGCAGGTTCACCTTGAGCAGCGCTTTGATGTGTTGAACAACAACTTTAGTACATTCAGTGATCATTACAACACAGTCTATCCAAGGCATATACCTCCTTCAACTCAGTTTCTATATCATCCCTTCTATCCTCCACTGTTCCATCCTCCACAGTACTACCCTCCACCACCTCCTAGAGATGATGTTGATGATGCATGAGGTTGCCTTTTTGGGTAATATGACGAGAATGGTTAGAGTGAAGAAACATTGAAGATCTTTGGATGGAGGCTTGTTTATGGACATTGCATGTTTTTATTTATGTGTTTTAGACAATACATAGGTGTGCTTGCATTTGGTATTTAAATATCTTTAAATTGCACTTGGTGTGCAAGAACTTAAATCTGTGATGCTTAAATTGATGTAATGTGCATGGTACTTTAAGTCTATTATATTGTTTCGCAAATGTTCTTATGAAGTTGTTGGTTCTAGCATACTTGTGGTATTTTGAGGATATTGTTTACGTTTATGGCTTCCAAAGGTAAATATCAGATGACTTGTGCACCTTAGTTACCCCAATGTAGGGGAAACTCCGCTTAAATTTCCAAAATTATGCATATATGAATGAATTAAACCCAAATCTTTATGCACATATGTGAGGGAGATTTCACTATATAGTTGAGTTTTGGGGCATTTATCCATCCTAACCCATGTTCTTCGTGCTATGGATAAATGGTGCAAAACTCATGTATGGAGTTGGCTTGAATTTTCAATTATTCTTAACACCTTAGTGTGGTTGTCATCAATTACCAAAAAGGGGGAGACTAAAAGATCTAGACCCTTATTTGGGTTTTGGTAATTAATGACAACGCTTGTGGACTAACCTTTCTATTTGAGTGCATGAAGGAAAGTTGGTTTAGTTCTCAAGAAAGGCCAGGCATTGATATGGACTTGATGGATAGCATGCTAGAAAACTCAAATCAAGCATAGCAAGGAGATGACCAAAGCAAGGCTTGGCTAGGAAGGACCGCATGCAAGGCAATGGTGAAGCGCAAGCTAGATGCTCAGGCATGATGGACCATTGAGGCGGTGAAGTACGAGCAGAGGGCTTGGCACCGATGGACCGAGGCAATGGTGAAGAGCAAGCTAGAGGCTCAAGTCACGACGAATACTCGAGGCAGTGAAGTGTGAGTAGAAAGCTTGGTGCTGATGAACCAAGGCAATGGAGAAGAGCAAGCAAGGCTAAGGTCGATGGACCTGAAGTCTATGTGATGGTTTGAGTGGTCCCAATTACTTATGAAGATCAAGCAAAGGACTCAATGATCATATCAAGTGGCCTGATGAATATGATCAGACAACGTATTTCCATGCGAGGATCAATTTGAGAGAAATTGGATTTATGTGAGGCAAAGGTATGAAACATAGTGTGTTTCATTTCGTTGTCCATGAGGTGTGTAGAGAAGTTTAAATGGCCAAATTTAGGATAGATAGCCATACTATTAAAAGGAGCAAACATTCTTTGCATTACGGTTATCTAGTGCCACTTGTGAGTTCTTACATTGTGATACATTTAGTGGTGAGTGGCGATAAGAAAAGTTTATTTTCAAACCTTTGAGAAAAGTTTGCTGAAAGATAACCGGCCTTGTGAGTTGAACGGTCATCTTGCGGGAGACCATTTCTTGGTGTTGGATTTCTTTGGAAAGGTTTTGAGCATGTTTGTACTAACTTTGGAAAGCTTCGGACCCCTTCATGGTGGACCCAAGTTAAGGAGGCGCAACGCTCAACGTGAAGTTTTCTAGGTAACTACGGACAGTCTAACCTTGAGACGGTGGACTGTCCACCGGTCAACCTAAGAAAAGGCAATGGATTTTTTTGCAATCTGTTCGTGGACTGTCCAGGTAACAGCAAATAGTCCACGCCTATAATGGCGGACAATCCACCGATTAATTTCTACCGGGAAAAGAGTTACTGGACATTCTGCATAGGCCGTTGTGGTTCAACAACGGACAGTCCATGCCGTGGCTATGGAAGTCCGTAGGTTGGGTTTTGAACCTAACAGCTAGTTTGCTTGAACGATGAATAGTCCAAAGACTTGTACTATAGACTGTGTGGGAATGCCGTTTCAGCACACTAACAATGTTTTTGGGGCCTCTCTATATAGAGTAGGGTGTCTGGCTCTGGGGGCTTTCTTGGTCTTTCTTAGTGCACATACTTGGTAAGAGAGCCTCTCTAGCACCTCCTATCATACTCTTTGCTTGAGGGAAACCTTTGGAGAGTGAGTGTACACCACTAGTGCGAATCATTGCGTGAGAGATTGTGTGGCACTAGGTGGTCATCGTGCGGGCTTGGTTGATTATTACTCTTGGATCTTGCTAGTTCCTAGGTGGCTTGATGACTATGACCCCGTGAAGCATGCAAGAAGATTGTGCGGTTCTCTAGAGAAGGCTTTGTGAGGGGCTATTGAGCTTATCGCCACCAGAGGAAGGCGAAGAGCATCTCTAGTAGAATCAAGGCTTGTGTGGATGTCTAGTTGATTGGTCTAGGTCAAGGTTTAGTGCTCACAAATGGATCCTACCTTGAGGGGTAGTCCAATGCTTGCGGGCTTTGGAGCTAAGAAGAGGAGCAGCAATCCTAGAACTCGCCTCAATGTTGACTAAGTGATCGGCAAGTCACCGAACCACGAGAAAAATTTCGTGTGTCATCCTCTACATTGTGGTTTGCATATCTCAACACAAGTTTACTTCATTGTTATATATTGTGCTTATATTGTTGAGCTTGTGCTTAGTGTAGTTGTTTGCTAGTGTTGCTCATAGCTAGTTGTTACCGCTTTTCATTAGTGTGTGTTGGAGCTCCCTTGCACTTGCTTGTGCTCTAGTGGTTTAGATTGTTTGATCTTGCCTACTAAAATTATTTAGGTGAGCTCTCCTAGCTTGAGCTCTCCTAGCTTGGTGCCCTACTAGCATATTAGTTATATCTTTTGTTAGGGTGCTGTCTAATTTTAGATAGAGGGGTGTAGTCGAGGCTAGACCGCTAGTTTTTACTTCTGCACTTAAATTGGCTAGCTCTTACGATTATTTTTTAGAAATGACTATTCACCTCCCTCTAGTTGTCTATTTTGATCCTACAACATCTTGATTAGGGTGGTCATAGAGATACAAAATAGAGCTATGGGGTTTGCCCTACCGCAATGCTCATGTTTCTATCTTTTGAAATTTTCAAACACAGGTACCGCATACTCGTGTAAATTGATTATGGATGCAATATCTATACTGACTAGGGGTCATAACACCATACTGATTATGGTTGCAACCAATGTTTTGAAAAACGTTCTGCGTTGGGCGTGCGCTAGCCTAAAGTTTAGAGTTTAGAAAGTTTAAACGAGATTAAACGTGATTAAACGTTTTTTGTTTTTTTTATAATTTTTGTGATACTGAGAGCAAAGTTAGTACTAATAACACAACTTGAAGTAATAACAGTGATCATACCTCTTGCTGCACACTTGTTTTCGACATGAGTTCCTTTCCTCCTTGGTTTCTTGCATTGAAAAACAACTAACAATCAAAGAGAGACAATTTAATAATCTGGAAACAGAAAATTCAAATAATAGGTAAAGAATAGAAACTCATCTATGAGGGTAGCAGCACAAGGTAAAATTGATCTAGCAAACAACAGGGCAATAGCACAAGAACGAGGCAGAAAGACAAGGCATCAATTTCGGTCAATATTGTACATGACTCCATGTACATCCAAGCTTCAAACAACAGAGGAAAGAAAAGAAAGACAAGGCAAAATATCACAAGAAAAATATACACAACAGTCACATCTCACAAATTAAAGATAGTAGTAGGCGAGACAAAGACAGTACAACACACAATAATGGTCTTATGTTCCACACACAAATTAAAGATAACTAGATAAGTAGATATTAATATTTAGATAACTTGGCGACCTACTACTACTGTCACGCCATCATGCAATCTCCTCAGTCCTCACTCCGCAAATGCATTACAATTTAGAATTGCTTCTTCATCCTCATCATCCTCATAGGCAATGTCATCATCTTGATAGTCGGGATCTTCAGGATCGATTCCCACTCTTCTTCATCCACCTCTCTAGCCACTCTTGCACTCCTTCGAGGTTGAAGTTGTTCATTAGTTCCCATTGCATCTCCAAGGACACTCCATGGTATCCCTGTCTCGGCATTTGTTCTAGCTCATCTTTCTCATCCCTCGAAGACAACCAATGCATGATCATCCCTCCCTCATAGAAAAATCCTTGAGCTTGAAGCATCACTACTTAGGAGCACTTCATAGTTACTCTTTCTTTTAATCTTCTCCTTCTTGGACATCAATTTATTATTGAATTGGA